GTTGATGGTCACTCGGATTAGCCCTTGCTGTACTGAGCTACCGCCTGCAGTGCCTTATCGCCGGCTGGTGTCAACAACGAGAACACACACACCCTGTCTACACCAAAACTACAAGCGTTCACCGCACACGCGTCGCCGCCGCTTTTAAGCTTTTGTGAAATTGCTTTCTTTTGCCGCGGAGAACCGCCTTATCTTAACTACGCGCCTGAAATCCTTCCAGGCGGGCGTGCACAATATCAAGCGTTTCGAGAAATGCCCGTGGAGTAGAACTATGGGAAAATTCGGAGCCCGCGATGTCGATATCGTCGCCGTTGTGTTAGTACGCCGTCGCGTACTGCAGTCCCCCGTTGGGGGAGGGGGGGGGGGGGGGGGGGGGCGGTCTTACTACGATAACATGGCGACAGCGTTTACACTCTATGTATTTACGCGAGGCTCGAGTATTTGGGGATAATGCTGCCGGTTGGTGTGCCCCTTTGTGCCTAATATTATCGCCCGTGACGCCAGCGAGTGAGATGACGACAGGCATGACTGCTCAGTAAACAGGCGTCGGCGGCCATGTTTTGCTGGTTGAAGCGAACCCCCTTGTCCTTGACAGCGAGCGGGGAAATGCGAAAAAAAGATTGTATCGGCCGTTTTGCCAGAACTAGCGACGAGTGTCGTCTGCGGTTTCCGGCAACTATTTTGCCATAATCGTGAGCTTAGCGAGGAAATGATTTTTGCTAGCCACAGAACACTACCACGCAGAAAGGGAATGCTTGAACATGTTTTTGTTCTGGATATATATCAGGGATATATATGAGAGAGAGAGAGAGAGAGATGAAGGTAGAGCGGAAGAGGGAATAGCATATAGTGTCGCAGGAGAATAAAGTAAACAAAGTTCCTAGTGGCCGATGGCTGCATGATCTTTTCTCGGATCACTAGTCCGTAATATGATACCTCTTTGTACACAGTAGTTTCTCCTTAATTTAAGTGTGTGAACGATTTCTTTAGTTATCATTGGCCTCATCTGAATAAATATATATAAAAGATGTGTGTTGGTTTCATGAAACTGGAACTCAGAGTCAGTTCTTGTATAAAACACTGCTAAGTGTAGGCTTTGAAAAAGGACCCTACTTTGGGGAGTTGTATCTTCTTTCTCAATAAAATGATGCAACATGTTTTTAATGGAAATGAATGCCGAAATAGAGTATAACAGGTTACCTAAATTTAAAAAAAATCGAGGGTGGTGTTTTTTTTTTATTCGCATCGGAATTTTTCTTTGTTTGATTTTTTTCCATGTTTGACTAAATATATCCTAACTATTGTATCACACAGATACCTTAGTTATTTTTTAAATATTAGCTATATATTAGTAGAATAATATCTGCAAATTATATCATAATGATTAAATTATTTCATGAGATACAGACCTCCAAAGTTTGCCATTTGTCGTTCGAGCAGGCATGTTTGTCAATTTTTAGAAAAATAAATAAATTTTAAATAAATATGATTACTTTATATTACAAGCAAGCTATACCCATAGTTTGCGCCTAAAACGTATTAGAGTTCTCCTAATGTTATCGCTTTAGTTATTCACTCTCAAACGGGCCCCCTTCATCAGTGCGCGTTAATGCAACTGTCCACCACCTCATGCCTTACGATTTTTCCTGTCCCCAAGTATTTTTTCTAGTCAAAACTAAGTTTGGATTCTTTCATACCAGACACTAGACAATAACATATAAAAACATCAGTTGATTTGAAAATGTCGACTAGCCATCCTTTGGTCGATCTTATCTGAAATCACCCTTTATCATAACGCGCAATAAAAGCAATACATTTTCTGTCTTTATCACCAAATATTTGCAGCATCATACAAAAACAAGACGAGCTGCATAGTGTTCTTGAGGACAATTTGTGTGACATAGTCATTTTCACTGAAACCTGGTTTAAACCTGATATTGAAGATAAATAACTTTTCCCTATACATCTATGTTATAACAATTTCCGGCACAATCGGCCCAACCGGAGAGGCGGCGGTGTGCTAATTGCAAAACGAAGGCATATTTATTTCAAAATTTGTTTAATAAACCATGGCTCAGAATTTGTGTGCATACTCATTTGTACACCGTCTAGTAAAGTCATTCTTGGTGTATGTTTTAGGCCACCCGATTGTGCTTCATCCCTTCATACTGAACTGTGCTGTCCTTGTGGACATAAAAATTGGCTCATGAAAGTTGTTCTTAGATATCTGCCTCACTTTCAACTTCACGCAGTTAGTTCATAAACCAACACGTACAGACAACATTCTTGACTAGATTTTAACTCTGTCATCAGACCTTGTCATCAGACCTTGTTAATCTGTTCACTACTGCGATGGGCTCAGTGATCACAAAGTTCTGCGTGAAGCACTCCATTTCCAAAATCATTCACGACTATAGCAAGGCTGACTACACATCAATTAACCGTGAGATGACAATTTTCTTCTACCGTTTCATTTCTCATTTTTATTGCAGATCAGTAAAAGAAAACTGGGCATTATTCAAAACTAAAATGAATAATCTTGTTCACATGTTTGTTCCAACAATTTGTTCCAACCATTCTCTATCTTGTATACAACTTCATTTTGCGTTTTACTAGTTGTATGATTTGTGTAATTCTGAGCAGTCCTGAGTGTGTAGTTTTAGTTTCCTTTTGTGTTTTTCATGTATTTGCATTTCTTTATTGTATAAATCTTGATTATCCTTCCCCCCTTATGTAATGCCCTTCACGTGCTCTTAGGGTGTAAATAAATAAACGAATGAAATGAAATGAAATTCCGACAAGAGTAGTGCGGCGGGTATCGTGCATGGCGTTGGAACATGGATGCTGCCCCCTGGCCACGTAGGCGCATCGACATTGGAAGCAGTGCTTCGCACTCCGGCATCCATTTACTCTGTTTTCTGCTTGCCCAGTTTACCGTATGCCTCAGTGGACGAGGAGGGAGTGCAAGGGTCTCTCGTGCACCTCTGTGTAGGCTCGCGTTCCTTTCGGCCCCTCGGCCTTCGTAAAAAGTGTGTTCGGTAGCCGATACAATTCAAATAATCTAGTTAGAAATGCATGCATTTCAGTCGGAACCACAGTGAATTTCAAATAAAGCGATTTTGTTATAACGAGGGACTACAGTGTTTTTCCCTCTGTATCTTGCACGACCTGGCACAGCTACTTGTAGGCTTTAAATCTCTTGCACCCACACTAAAAAAAAGCATTACCTATTTTTAGAAATGTTAATTCAATTGAATTAATTTAGTTTAAATCAAATTGATTTAATTTAAATTGATGCAGGTAGAAGTTAGCGATTCTTTATCAAAAGATTTATTTCTTTTAACGTGGCAGATTGATTGATTCATCAGTCCAATCACCAAAAACAATGTGGGAGAAGGAGTTAGCGTAACCTAAGGTGCCATATTTTCCCGGTTACAGTCTACATTTGGTAAACAGTCCACAAAAACCAATCTAGGCCAAAAAAAAAATAATATTTTGCATTCAGTGTATAGCCCGCAAGCTGTGCATGGTCCCTACATGGTGCTTAGCCGACACGAAAATCTTCTCATACACAACACACCTCGACAAATGTCTGCTTTCTTGCATTATACAAGACATGATTAACACACTCTTTGATTCACAACGTCCATCCAGTCTCGTCATAATGAACAATCTTGAAAAACAAAATTATTGTACAGTCCGCATGCGTAAATAGTCCACACAGTCTAAAATTTCAAATTTTAAACGTGTATAGTCTGCAGACTATAGCCCGGGATATACGGTAGCTTAATCAGCAAATTTTTATCGAAGTAAACCCAGCCATACTAAAACAAAAACAGCTAGATTTTCTACGTAGAAAAAAGCTCAATTTCCCTTTTATTTTGTATTCAGATTTGCTTGCAACAGGATGTTACGTAACTGACAGACAAAGCGTTAAGGCCCGTTCACACACTAGAATCTTTAGGAGTGTGAGCCTTAAAACAATACACTGGTGCCATCTATTGGGTAGCCGAGGAACATTTTCAGTGGCTGCACCATTCCCATCTCTTTCACGCATCATTCCTTCTTGGCTCAAAAAAAATCGATGACAATGTTATAAACAACCCATTTTGGTGATAGTATGTACATTTGGTCTTGCAAATGCCGCAAAACCTTTGTTCTATTGAAATTAGGTTCCAGGGCCGCCTCATAAATGGCGCCAGCGTGTTCTCTCGACCCAAAAGGTTTTAAGAGTTTTAAGACACAAGGTCCCAAGAAAACCCAAGTGTGTGAACACGGACATTAAGGTAAAAATCAAGCTCAACGCCCAAATTCGCTCGTAAAAGCGCGACTTTTTGATTATGTAGTCCTTTTGAATCTTTCTTGGTTGACAATTCTTAGATTTAAATCCAAAACAAAATTCATATAGAAATAAGCATCAAATTATAGACAAACGGTAAATAAAAAAATATTTCCGGAATTATTTTTGTGGGAAAGGTTTGATCGAAATCACCACAGCTTGATCAAAACTGGTCCGATATATAAATCATAATTTAGGTCATGACTTAATGCGGAATTAAATTGTATTGATTTTTATATTCCACTCTGCTTGCACACTGTTGCGCGTCTCTCTCTACTCTTCGTTTTGTCCTCAAATATGACAACTTCCCCATTCTCCAACCCATCATCATACTTCCCTCCTTGACATCACACTGGTTGTTTTCAACTAGTCTCAGGCACCCCTTTTTCTACCACTTTACGAAGGGTGTATACCCAAATGTTGCATTTTATTCCCATCACTATCCCTTTTCACGTGGCACATAATTTTTTTTTTCTATTTGTACTTCCATCCCAACACCAACAACATCAAATCCACCAAACCCATAACAGATTCTATATAAGAACAAACCTCATAATAAGGGGAGTTCGAGCTGGGTCCGACAAGCTTCACTTTTGGGACACACCCTCTTACTATACAAAACTATGTCACATAAGTAGTCAAATTAGAATAGCCGTCTCACCTTGTTCTGTTGCATCTTTCTTGGGCACTTTGCTGGCAGCATCAGCGTTCTAAAAAGTTTGAAGATGAGCCTCATGATGAGAAAAGGGCCACAAAAGAAGTCCCAGTGAGACACGGGCATGAGGAGGACTTACTTTGGTAAACTGCTTGTTCACAGTAGCTGCAAGCCTCTCTGGACTGGGAGAGTCCCTTCCCCTTCCCGAGCATTGGTCTATGAACATGCTTGGGATGTCCTTGCCAAAGTACACCTTGCTGTTGGCCGAAATAGCTTCGTATCGCTTAATCTCCAGGAACTCGGGTGTCAAGAGCAGCTGTATGGTCGGAAGGGAAAGGAAGTGGACGTCTCAGATCACAACCTCTTTAGAGACTTCCACAGATATGATTATGTTGGCATCGTCTGCAGCAAAATTTGTAGTTTTGAGATTATGCTAAACGAGATACCAAAAAAGATTCAGTACAATACAACATGCACAACTGTTTTAAAGATCATACAAAGATAAAGCTCCTTCATATGATCTGTATTATAAGCTACCCACATCTTGACAGTGAGGGAGTGAGAGCATCAATATTCAAACTACAGTCAGCAGAAGGCTGAAGGTTTGTTCACACACTTACGTTCAGAGCAACCGCTATGACAACGAATAAATGCAACTGGTTGGAACGACGGTTAGCCGTGGCCATGAAGCACCGGACCGCCGTGTCGTTTGTTCACAACGCAAGGAGTTGAGCTGCGCTCAACTTTTTCACTACATTTGGAAATGAGCGGAGAGACCACGCCGACAGACCAATCATGAGCCAAGGAGAGCTCAGCCGCACGCATTGAGCAACAGTTGTGCTTCCTGCTATCTGCTGAAAAACATTGCGTCAGTGGTGGTCGTCAACATCTGCTCCGCATAGAGCACAATCCTTGGCTGTCAATTCTCGTTGTGTGTTGCAAAGATCAACCAGCATGTTCTAAAAGAAAAGATGCACCTACTCATGCGGCAGTGTCGTGACGGTACCCTCTGTCTCGGAATTGAAGAGGTCGTGTGGGCGTCATATTTAAATCAGGCAATTAACGTAAAAACAAAACACAAACTGTATTTACACTAACAAATCAATCGAATATACATTACACAGAAGTGTCTTGATCAACTTGTCTGTCGTTCGCCTTGTTCCACTCGTGACTTGAAACTTGTTCTTTCTTCTCGTTTTCTTGTGAGCTTCAAATTCTTTCCAAACTGCAACATCCTCCCCCCCTTTCTTTCTTTTTTCACGTGAGAGTTGCCTTGGTTCATTCACTTGCCAGTCCAGGGGGTAAAGGAGCTGCACGGGGTGCCGAAGCGCTAGCCCCCTTGGTAGGCGCACCAGACAGGAATGCACGTGGTTGTCTCTGCCCAGCTGAACTGTTTCGATCCTCCCCGTTCTCCACATGAGCCGTGGAGCCTTGTCTTCGTGAACAAGAACGAGGTCCCCGTTCTGTAGGTCATTTGTTCGCGTCTCGGGCGATCGGTGTGCGAAGCGGAGCTGAAGGAGGTATTCCTTCCGCCACCTCCGCCAGAATTGGTCCAGCAGTTGCTGCCTGTGTAGCCAACGTCTGGTGATGTACCCTCTCGCAGAACCTGGAATAGTTTCTACGTTGACTGATGGGAAAGCCGTCAGACGCCTGCCCAACAAGAAGTGCGCAAGCGTTAAAGCATCCTGCTCGTGCGGAGCGTCGTGAACAGGGGCCAAAGGTCAGGAATTCACGACGGCTTCCACCTCGTGTAGCATGGTTGTCAGTTCTTCGAAACTAAACTTATTCCTTCCTAGTATATTCCGTTGACTATGCTTCACTGTCTGGACCATCCTTTCCCAGAACCCGCTCCACCAGGCTGCTCTCTCGGCAATAAACTTCCACTTTATCAAATGCTGTGAGCAGTGGTCCTGGAAGCATCGGTTCGTGAGCACGTCCCATACGCCGCGTAAGTCCTTTGCTGCCCTCTTGAACATGAGGACACTGTCTGAGTAAACGACGCTGGGTAAGCCACGTCGAGCAGTAAAGCGCTGGAAGGCCATGATGAACGCTTCTGTCGACAGGTTGGAGACAAGCTCTAGGTGTATGGCTCCCGTCACCGCACGTGTGAAAAGCACAATGTACGACTTTTCATCTGATGCTGTAGTCTTTACCATCAGTGGGCAGGCAAAGTCGATCCCGACTACCCCAAAAGGATTCGCTTGGGTAATCCGATCCTGCGGCAAAGGTGCGGTCGAAGCGTTAGCCGGCTTGAGTTGGGCCAACCGACAACCATTACATTTGTTGATGACCTTCTTGGCCAGCTGTCTTACTCGCGGTATCCAGAACCGCTCTCGAACTTGGGTTAAGGTGTCCTGAAGTCCGCTGTGCAGTGTTCGACAATGGCAGTCTCTTACCAATAACTCAGTGAAGCGGTCATCGGGAGGTAGCAAAAGCGGGTACTTGACCTCGATTGTTTCGTTTAATTGTTGCAGTCGTCCCCCCACCCGCAACAATCGATTGGGGTCAATGAAAGGGGCGAGCGAGACTATGCTGGATCGCCTTTCCAGATTCTTATCTGCCATTAGATTGTCCAATTCTTGAGTAAAAGCTTCTTGTTGCGTTTGTGCAATCCACCAAGTCTCGGCTCGTTCAAGCTCTTCGGACGCTAGCGGGCCCTCACCTCGATTTCGCCGCGTAGTTCTTTACAGACAAAATAATCCATGCAGTAATCCTGAGGATCCGTTCCAGCGCCCCGTACCGTTTAAGTTCCAATAGAGGTGCAATCCCCTCCGTTGCATTCTGCAATACGTGATGTTCCAGCTTTCCCTCCTCTGCAATAACTGTTACTGGAACGTCGTCGCCCACGATGAGGTTCGGCCATACGTCTTCAGTTTTACCAAGCCACTTTGAACCCTTCCCCCACAGTTGCATACCTTGTATAGTTTCCGCAGATATTCCCTGCGTCATCAAATCTGCCAGATTTTCTTGTCCGGGGCAATGCTTTCGTGTATCAGGTGACCTTCCAGACTGGAGCTCTGGCACTCGATTTGCCACAAAGGGCTTCCACTGAGTTGCTGACCCGCGGATCCAGTGAAGTGCGACAGCGCTATCTGTCCAGTAGAATGTCTCTTGAATGTTCATGATCTCTCCAAGATACTGGCCCATCCAGTGAAGTGTGATAGCGCTATCTGTCGAGTGGAATGTCTCTTGACTGTTCATGATCTCTCCAAGATACTAGCCCATCCATCTTCCAATCAATGCAGCCATTAGTTCTAGTCAAGGTAGTGTTATGCGCTTTATGGGCACCACACGTGATTTCGAAAATCTCAAGTTCACCTCTACCTTCTCCCTCAGCTCTCAGGTAGGCACAAGTGCCATAGGCCACCGGACTTGCATCGCAGAAGACGTGTACAGTATAGACCACTTACAACGTAACCGCTTATAGTGCAGAACCGCATATAACGCGGCTTTTTTAAACCACCGGTTCGCCTCCCATAGGACTCCATGTAATTACATACCGCTTAAAATGCAGGCACGCAAAGGGAAATACCGGTTATAGTGCGGTTTTCGGAACAGCCCGGCGACCGCACCGACTGACCGACGCAGAGAGCACGCTTCCCTGTGCGACACTAGATAACGGCGCGAGCCGCAAGCGTCACTCGCGGGACAAGGAGGTTGCTCGAAGAAGCGGGGAGAAGTGAAGAGAGAGGCTTCAGTTGCCATAGCGATGGAGGGACGCACGCACAAGTCATTCACGTGCGTGCGTCTCTCCGCTGCGTTGGAAACGTTGGAAACAACCGCAACGACAGACCAATCGCAGGTCGAGGAGAGGTGTTCGTGCACGTTACATGCCAGTCGCGGGCCGGCCGGCTGGCTGCTTTTATCCGCAAACATGGCGTCAGTTTTGATCGTCGACGGAGACGGCGTGGTAGAAGCTCATTGTTCCGCGTAAAAGCGCTATCCTTGACTGTGAATTTTCGTTGCGTGTCACTATGATAACCCAGCACGTACTAGAAGGGAAGATCCACCCACTCGTGCGGCGATGTTGTGGCGGCACTCTCAAGACGGCAGAAACGCCCGTGTCGTCGTGTTTGTTTACTTCGACTACAATGGTGCTTTCTAAGCATTTGCGTTTTTGAACATCGCCCGGATTTCTTATTTGGAGCATTTCATGCCTGTGCTCAAGTTGAAGGTATTACTGGCGCGTACCGTATAAAGGATGCGAATTTTCACGCGTTTTCATCGCCGGAGAAAAGTGATTAGGGTTAGCAATCCTAAACACTTGCAACGTCCGTCCGCAACCCGCGACGCCGTTAAAAGGCTGCGCCAGGCAAAAGTCGCTCATTTCTTTCAAAATCTGTGACATACTTGAGAGAGAAGTGTACTAGTTTCGTGAAATAAAGACTTTCCTCAAACTAAGCTTTATTTTTCATCTAACATAAAATAAATTCTTTTACAAAGGTAAGTTGTCTGATTGCATGCATTTTGGCCTGAAAAGTTGATGTTTTGGTTATAGCACGATACCGCTTATAGTGCGGATTTTTGCGACTCCCGCGACATACGTTATATGCGGTCTACACTGTAGTAGGAGAGAACATATGACTTCTCTTGGCGTCTTCACGATGCAGCGAGGAATCACAACCTCTTCTATTTGTGGAAGTTCTGCGCACCATCGCCGCCATTGCTCCTGCAGGTCGTCTGTTAAATCGTCGTCCCAACCGATTCCTCGTTCCCAGATCTGCTGAAACAAAACCTTGATTCGTATGACGAACGGAGCAAGGAATCCAAACGGGTCAAAAACCCTAGCTGATGCATGGAGTAGATAGTGCTTCGTCGTCCCACTGCACATGACGAAGTTCAGGATCCTCTCCACTGGAATGGCCAGCGTTTTAGCATCACGTCGCCAAAGCAGTCCAAGTACAGCTCTCGGCTCGGAGAGTACAGACGTTGATGCAGCTTTATCTAACAATCTTTGCAGTTCTTTTGCGTTGGTAGACCACTTTGGGAGTCTCATTCCTGCATCTTCTAAAATATGGTTGGCTTATTCCTGTATTCGCGCCGCTTCTTCGATAGCGGGGGCTCCGATCAGGAGGTCGTCGACATAGAATCCCCGTTGAAGCAGTTCCGCAGTCTATCTCAATTCTCCATTGACGTTGCTCAGATGATGAGTAAGAGTGGCGGTTAGTAGAAAGGGGTTGGCCGATGTCCCAAAGGGCACTCTCGTAATCCTCTGCTCTTCAACGGTTGGTTCTGAGCTTGCTAACGACGATTCTCTTTGAAACCTCAGGAAGCGTAGGACGTCTCGATCTTCAGGTCGAGCGCTGACCTGCAAAA